CATTTCAGAAGAATTTGTTCAAAGGGATAACTCCCGTGGTGCAATTGGCGAGCAAGGTAGGTGACGCTAAGAAACGGAAGGAAGTCTCCGTTCCACTCAATGATATTATTTATGGCCTATCGGTTGATGCTCTTACTTCGCTAGGTAATTCTGTCTATGCGTTTTCCATGAAACGCCGTGAGATGTTGAAGTCTGAAGTTGCCTAGCAGAGAGGGAAGGCTTATGATATGGTAAATGTGAATGTAAAATGCTCCAGCTTATAAGTCGTTATGTCATGAGTTGCAACCCATTACCACAATGCTGTTTGGCGACGAAATGCCCCAAAGGTCAAGCGAATGGCCGCCAAAAGTATCAGCAATGACCGTCGCAGGTCCAGCGCGTCGGCTTATAACACCCCTGCATCAGGAACCCGGCCAGACCGGGGTAGACCGGGGTCAAAGCCTGGCGTGAAAGCCGGGGTGAGCCAAGCTTGTGGCCGGGCTTTGGCCATGTTGGTCAGGGGATAAAAAAACCGGGGAAGCCGCGGCCACAGGGCCAGCACGGCCTGGCCTAGCCGCGGTTGGCCGGGGTCAAAATTGAGAAGGAAAAGCAAAAAGCATAAATGGTCTGCATGGCCTGGACAGGCCGTGGCTGGCCGGGGTCAAAACTGGCAAAGCCTGGCAAGGAAAAGCAGAAAAGTTTGGCCTACAATTGGCCTGCACTGGCTGCGGTTGGCGGGGCCAAAAATTGGTCAAGCTTGCCAAGAAACCTTGACCAGCCTGGCCAAGATCATGATCACAGGGCATACATACTTGTTCAGAGTTTACCTTGAGTGGTCAGTCTTACAGAATATAGTCCACCCAAGCTGCCTGAAGCCACAAAAACTTGCACTATTATTAATATGACTATTATAGCAATGCTGAGTCAAAAGTCATTTTAAGCATACCAAACTTAGACAACGCATACAGTGTAAATATAGTGCAAAGTAACCTATAGCTAGTTATGATTGGAAAAAAATATAAAACATACCCTGTTAATGGGATCTATAGACAGTGTTCGTTTATAATCCAAATGACAAGATCAGCTGATTTTAAATTTATTTTGCTCAACATACACATCACCACATACATTTAACATCTAAATTTCAATCTTCTTTTTAGAAATATTTTTAAAATTGTAATAATATGATATTACATAACATAGTGACCACTTCTTTACAATTTCTGCTTATTAAGGCATACCAAGTAACAAAAAAGCAATTTAGCACTCAATTTTAGTGAAAAGACATATTAAATAAACGTCTTCAAATTAATACAATCATTTACATGAAAAAAAAAAATGCTAAATGAATGTTTCTTTCAAAGTCGCCGAACAGCCTTCTGAACTGAAGGTCCACACATCAGGCTTGCAGTGATGTACTTCGTATTTATCATTATGACTCGAAGTTCAAATAAACAAACCTACAGGTTGTATTTTAATTTTATATGTAAGTTCAATTTTCAAGTCATTATAAATGGAAAATTTATTCACAGCTTCTAACCTGTAGCAGACATGCACATTACATGCATGCATATCGGAAACTAATATGCTTTATTTCTTCTCCTACTTTATTTTACATTGGTCTTCACAAGTCTGCCATAACCATGTAGCGCCAGAACATACAATTTTCTGAGTATTTCTTTGATAATTTGCAACAAAGAGTACAGTTATTTCTGTAGTAAACAAATTAAGGAATCAACCAATGGCATATCTGTGCATTCCTCTTAAATTTTAATTTCCAAATTCGAAATATTAAGTGTCTAGATACCCGGCAGCAGGAAACTGTTTTGCAAAAAAAAACTAGATACCCGGCAGTCAGAAATTCTGACCAATTTTCTCGAAATAGCTTGTTTAATTCCTCTAAGAACATAAGAGATTTGTTTAAGAATCTCAAGCGATTGTAAATATTGCCTTGAGTTAAAAGTAGAAGCGACTGTCGAGCTTAGGCATAGTGTGGAATCTCAACGTTTTCGACGAATATCCACAGAAATTATCAACGAAACCTCACCAGAGGGCGAGTTAGTGTTTGTTCAGAAATGCCAAGCGATTCTACATAAAGGTTTCGTATTGTTGTAGGTAAATTCTCCGAACTTGTATAAGCATAAGATTCTTGACTCACGGGTACAGTTTTCAAAATAATAGATGCCAGGCAGTCGGAAATTCACCATGCAATTTGCACAAAATATCTTATTTAATTTGTGTAAAAACACCAAGAAGTTGTTTAGAAAACTCAAGCGATTTCAAACACTGCTTTAATTTGGGCTTGAAGTAGGGGTAACTGAGTGAATTTCCGACTGCCGGTTATATTTCTACATCTGTAGATCGACACTTCATCTCTGAAGTTTAAGCTTAATTGCGCGAACTTATTAGAAAACATCCTTCATGCAGTAATCCAGCTGAGTTAACTGACTTGGAAACATGCTTTATGTGAACACAAACTTCGCAATTGATCACTTTCAGTCTTGAAAATAACATGGATGATAGAAAGACAGTCTTACGAAAATACTCTATCGCTTGTGAAGTCCGCGTGAATTTGAACTTTTCGACGGAAGTTCGTTTTACACTTTTCTGTTGGTCCAAAAGTCGCACGTGACAAAGTAAACTAAATCGGGCATGTGCGAAAGGCACGGGGAAGCCTGGGAACAAAAAACATGGGGGCTAATCCAGATGTCGTTCGGGTACTGAAAGTGCGGTTATTTTCAGCGTTGATTAGGGGACTCCAGCGCATTTTAAAAGTTAAATGCAAGAGGTAAACTTAAGCGGGGAAAGAAAATGCTGGACTACATTATAAATCAAAGTTGCGACGAGAAACGTGTTGTGGACGTTGTTCATGTTGGACATTAGCTCACAGATACGGAAAACTGATTAAACTGAAGACACCTTGCACACACCAAGATCACGCCATTGCTTGGACATGAAATCCAAGTACAACTCCAGCCTGATAGAATGAGACGGACTTAAATCATTTACATAGCTCTTTTATCAATATAAAGACTCTGTAATCTAACAATAATCATGCAAAGGTTTAGTCTGCATGGACTGGAACATTATAATGTTCATGTTCAAGTGTGATATTTTAATGTTTAAGTTTGCTACATAGATAATTGTCTGTAGAACCATAACATCATCGTATCTTACAAGACACCATCAAGGCAATTTTTAAGGTTGTAACTTCAAAGACAGTTTAATTGAGCCCACAGAGTTTTGTTAAGGTCACTGGTCGCTTTGATTACAGACACTCCTTGTCTGTAATCAAGAGGCATGGATGGTCTGTAAAGCTCATGTATGACTGCTGTTGTAGATTTTTTGTTAGTTATATGTGGAAACTGGCAATGTCATTCTTTGTGAAAAAATAGCAGTTGTAAAGCAAAGAGTGCCCTTCATGGGACAACAAATGGCCAAAACTATTTTTGGCCTGGAAATTCAAAAAAGCCCGGCCAAGCCTGGCTTGAATCTTTAAGGCCTGGATTAGGCCGGGTTTTTCTGACCAGGGCTGCTGAGAAAGCTCGGTCGTGGAAGTACATGTAACAAGGCCAGGAAGGCCAAGCTTTGGTGGCCAAGGCTGCCAAGAAAGCTTGGCTGTGGCCATACTTGCCAGGCTTAACCAGGCCACATTTTCGCGGTAAGCCTGGCCAAAAACCCGGAAAGCCTGGCCTGACCAGCCTTTTCCAGGCCGGCCAGGTTTTGGGCGGGCTCCTGATGCAAGGGCAGTTTGAAGAAACCTCTCGTGGCCGTCGGTATTCTAATTTTGGACGGAGCCATTTAAACTACAAGCGCCATTACGAGTATCAAAAACCGCCCTACCAGAAGAGAGGCCAATCGTTTCCACGCCAGTCCCGATAGAGTTCCAGTAAAACGACCAAGCAGAAGTGATTTCCCAAACTTCATGCGTCTATCCTCAGGTAGGTGGACGTTTAGCAAAGGTTTGATCGTTTCTAAATAATTTTACTACTGATAGTTGGGTTTTACTGACGGTGAGCGGCTACAAGATTTCAGTTTTCATCTGAGGAAACGGAGTCAATTGACCTTGAGGTTCATACGTTGTTACAGAAAGGTGCCATTAGGGATACTAATTTGTTTGTTATTCCAAAGAAGATTGGCGACTTAAGACCTGTCATCAATAAAAAAAAACCAGAATGAATTTGTTCAATATCATTATTTTAAGAAGGAGGGGTTGAATTCACTTCTAGATCACTTGTCGGGATCCGAATTTCTTACAGGCATTGAGATCAAGGATGCTAACTTAACAATTCCTAGACATTCTGATTGCCTTTTGGGTTTTCGTCGGTCCCAAGGGTTTTCACTAACGTAATGAAGCCTTTTGTGTGGGCTGTTCGTAACAAAGGAATAAGATTAGTTATATATCTTGATGACATAATTGTTGTCAGCTCATCTCGTGATTTTTCTGCCGAGGAAACTACAACTGTTATTCATATTCTAGAGTCATTGGGTTTCATTGTTAACAGAGAAAAATCCCAGCTTGTCCCTTAGCAGAGACCTGAATTTCCAAGTTTTGTTATAAGTCCTGTGAATATGGTTGTCTCTTCCAGAAAGGAAGATTAATAATCTGGTAGACCATGCTTCCTTTCTCCGATAAAAAAACTCATTGTTCAATTCGGGAGTTAGATCATTTTATTGGTTTAGTTGTTTCTTCCTTTCAGGCAGTTAAACCTGTAAGGCTCTACTACCGTGAGCTTGAGGTCTGTAAATTAGATGCTGTAAGTGCTAATGATGAAGATTACAACTCAATTATTTGTTCATGAAAGAAAGCGAATGCGGGCCTAGATTGGTTTATTTTAAGTGGTCTCTTGGATAATGCGAGTAGCCTTAAGAAACCGTCAACAGTGAGTACTTTAATTACTGATGCCTTCAAAGCAGGATGGGGTGTTGTCTGTAATGGAGTTTCATCTTGTGGTTTGTGGTCCAAAACAGTGCTGGTATAGCATATATTTACAATTTGGAAGGAATGGTTCCTAGTTTGCATGCATTGTCATAATCTACTTGGGAGTGGTGCCTTGCACGCCATTGTTTGTTGGAGGCACATCATATGCCGGGAAGCTCTAATCTCTAGAGTAGATTATTTGTCTAACAGTCATAATCAAAATATTGACTGGAAATTGCATCCTACAGTGTTTCTATGGGTCTCGCAAACATTGTTCGTTCCAGACATAGATTTATTTGCTTCTCGCCTAAATTTTGAGACAAAGAGCTATATCTCTTGGTTCCCGGACGCAGATGCCTTGGGGGTTGATGCCTTTTGATTATATTGGAAGATTTTAAACTTTGTTTGTCCTTCTTTCAGTCTCCTCGGGAGAGTTCCTCGAAAGCTCAAGTTGGGGGAAGTTTCAGATGCTTTAATCATAGCACCCTGTTTGCCAACAGCTCATTGGTATCCTCAACTTCCGGAGTTGCTAGTTCAACGCCCTGCCCTTGTACCTCAATGGGAGACACTCCTACCCTTGCCTCAGGAAGACGTTCTACATCCTCTCAGGGAAATGATACGACTAACTGCCTGGCATTTTACCGAGATAGCCTGGAGGTCAGAGGAATTTCTCAGAGGACAGCCAATCATGTGCTCAAGCCTTGGTGACCCGAAACAGTACTCTACAGTATGGAAGGTCTTTCTGTTGCTCGTGTGAGAAGAAACAGAGAAATCCGCATCAGACAGATCTGGTGACAATTTGTGACTTTTTTACTGCACAGTTTGAAAATTCCAACAAGACGCTGTGGGAGCGTATATTTGGGCGTGGTTGTGCTACGCGTATGATACGTTTAACATGCCTTTTTGCAGCTAAACAACTGTCATCATATTCCCCAGAGAAAATAAATCCTTTACTCTACTTCTTTGCTGAACCACACAGCTTATACAGCATGTTCCAATCCACAACAAAAATCCTGTCACTTCATGACATTGAATTAAAATGCACATCTTCAACACAGACTTGCTCTCAACCAAATTGCAATACAGGACACCAGTGCTTACAGCCCGGACAGTAAGGTTTATCTCAGCTCCACTGATATCTGCCAGTCGATCTTCCTCAAAGTGTCAGTGTCTTTTCACACCCATCACATTTTACAGTGTATTCCGGTTACTAACAAGGGAAGATAAAGTTCCTGAAGTCCAGTATCCAGGATTTATAACAGAGTAACACATTGCATAAACTGCTATAGCGCAGCACTGTTTACAGGAACATTGTTAACAATTAACATTTGATATACTACAATATCCAACACTGCTTGAAAAAAAGGTCAACTTCAAAGTTGGCAATATGTACACCTTCAAGCTCATATATATCCTGATTCCTATATAGACTCTGAAAATATTGTACTAATTTATGCATGAATGGCATTTCCAACAATTCACATGTCCCTTCACTATAAATGTTACCATACATATCTCTAGGATGAAAATCAAATACTTTATATCCCCCGCCCTCGATGCTGTAGATACAAACACCAATAACTTCCACCGTTAAAATGAATGAGTTGTAGTTCAGAGCCAAGAGTGTTTCAAATGCTGTACCCAGTGGCATATACAGTAGTGATACCCCTCAATTCTGGCATCACCATTCATGTCACAAGTATAACTTGCACAGTATACAAGCTGGAAAACATTCCTGGCAATTCGGTTAACATTAACATAGATTGTCTTTTAAGCAGTAACAGACTAGAATATAATTTATTACCAGGAATCATTATTTGAATCATATCATCAACAAAAATAATCCTTCTTATCTTACTGTAAATTAAAGCGCACAGATTCATTGCAACCCATTGTTGTCCAACATTTTCTTCAAATACTGCAACAATTCCTTGACAGTATGGAGCATGAATTGTTTTTGTAGCATCTAAATAAACTGAAGGTCCTGGATTCCTCTCGCTATCAGTACAAAGCTTAAATTGGCCAAAATTAACCCGGTGATTCAAACTCTTGTAAGCACTATAAAATGGATAATTGCATATACAGAGGGGCAAATACTTTCTTAAAACCCTATTTGGATATCTCATCCCACCTAAATCGCCTCTGCTTTGATGCTTAGACGACAGATACACCTTCTCTCGTTTACGAAATAATTTTGGAGTTGCCCTTTAGGTAAAAACCTTACACTGTTACAGTTACTTCAATCTGCACCTGTTTAAGTCTAAACCATTTGCATTTTTAACGTAACAATGAATTTTAGGCGACAATGATGTATTTTTCCGAATACACTTACATACAAAAACTCTCTCTTCCCGTGTTTTCTGTAAGAAAGATTTTAATTTCTTCATCGGTAGGATAAAATTTTAAAAATCCACATAAATCAAGTCTGCTAGGTGCACAAACGCGTCAAGAGAAATGATTAACCTTATTTAAACCAACGGAATTGTAAGTTCTGTTATAAATAAATTTGCCACGACGAGATCTCAATTCAAGAGTGGTTGTCAGAGAAAACCGGGCAAAAAGTTAAAAATGTCAACGGAAGGGGGTCAACAGCATAATTTCATACTAACATCATAGATAGGTCAGGTGGAGTAATGGACAAATATACCAAACATAGGTTCTTCACTGCTCTTGTATTAGAGATACGAGCATCACTTTATTCGACCCCCTTGGACGCAATTTTTTACGCAAATTTTCACCTTTTTCTGAAACTCACAGAACCGTCAAAATTCAACGAGCGAAGTTCATTTTTTTTATCTGATACAACACATCACAGAACTACTTTCTAAAACCATAAAATTTGTTAAGTAACAACGGGCAAGACTAAAATTTTCTTATTTTATCTGACCTTGACTTAGTGTCAGCAAACGAGCCAAAAATCAGGCCTTTTTGAATTGACCTACAGCGCACAACTAAAACGGTAGAACAACTCTGACAGCCAAATTGAAGTCTACTATCATCCATGTTACCAAAACACTAATAATCCTTTTGGGCCAATGAAACAGGAAGAAATTAAAAAACTCACATTTGTTATAGTTTGCAAGCTTTTTCTTGCAAACAGGCCGATCTCTTCGTGTTTGTTTTAAGTCCTCTTCGTGAATTTTCTTTCATATTTCGTTGTAAAGTATGTTCAGCAGCTGGAGAACATATCGAAAAGCTCGCAATACTGCCTAGGTTACATTTTGAAAGGGCAATAAAAGCTGAACGAGAGGATGAACCTTGAAAATAACAAAGCGACGCCATCTTGAAAATTCAGCACTCAGGAGGGACTGGCACTAGTAGCTGCGTTCGATATCTAACATACGGACAAAAATTGCAAATTTTTCACGACTCCATTTTCTCGCAATTCCCTTAAGAGACTTGAGCACAAAGAAAACCAAACCTAATCCAGAAATGTAACCAGAAAGCCTCGGATTCATGTTAGAATTTTTCTTTACCGAACGTGGGCTATTACGAACTATTACCAGGAGCCATGAAAAACAAAAAACACAAACAAACCGGCTTATCAGCGACCTAATCCAGTCTTATTTCTTCTTCAATTACTTCTTTAAGTTGAATTAAGCTTGTTTTTCTTTCAAAGGAAAAAACAACNTATTTAAGGAGTGTAATTTCCGGAAGTTAATCAATTTTTTTCTAAATTGTGGTTTCTGAATAGATAACACACAATGAATTGCAAGATGATCCGAAATAACAGGATCCTTAACTTTGGTACCCTTGATAAGTGAGTCATCTGATCTTGTGATGACTAAATCAAGGGTATGGCCACTGGCATGAGTTCCACAATTGACATGTTGTTTCAGATCATATGACTCAAGAAGGTCTGCAAACCGCTTGGCATTAGCATTGTCTGGATCATCCATGTGGAAATTGAAGTCACCCTTTATTAATAAACATTAATGTAGATAGTACTAGTAATAGTTGACACTACAGCTGCCTCCACTCTTCGTATTGTCGGTCAATAAGGGCTTTAAGATACGGCTTCTACGGACTACGACTACGGTTAAACATGCGCTACTGCGCTACTGCTCATGCGCTACTGCGCATGATCAAAACCGCGTGACTGTTTATTTTTCCCGCGTAGTCCTGCGGCTACGGTGAGTTGTTCAGCTGTTTTGCGTAGTCGGGACTACGAGAACATTTTGCTCGTATTTTGCCGTCTCTGTAATTCAAGAATCTCGTCTTTTCGTACAATAGTTTTCAATTCACCTGCTTTAAGTGAGAGGGAAGCGAAATATGTAAGTTGTGTCTAATTTCTGTTCAGATTTACGCTTTTAATCCACTCTTCTGACTACATTAATTTATCTACCTAAGCTCATATTTAAATAAGCTTAGCTGTTTATACGCAGAATTCAGATTGACGGCCTAGGAGAAGAGAAATCATGCAGGTAATTTACTTTCTCTTCGCACTTGAAAAGTTTCAAAGTTTGTTCCAACTGATTAATAGTGTGTCTTTCTTCTTGTGTAACCTTTGTTTATGCGAGGTTTTGTATCGCGCCATTTGCTGAATGAAAATGATGTAAACATCTTCGAGACAATCGAAACTCGGCATTTCGATACTTCAAACTACATCAGATCAGTAGTCGGAGAATTCCATCTTCTAAATCTAATAGATGAGCTATTACTATTTCTGTCTATTTCTTTAATATTTGACATAAGTATTCATGGGCGAAAAAATAAAACTTGTGTAACCAAAACTTTGTTTACCAATTTCACCGACGTAATTGCTACCTTCAAGTATGGAAGAATTTGTTCATTGTTCTAAAGATAAGATCACATGCAAAACTGACTCTCATTTTTGTGAACTGTGATGAAAACAAGAAAATCTTTGCGTGTTGTTTCCCTCCCCTCCTCATCTCTCGTAGTCTGCTGTCTGTAGTGCAATCTTAACGTTCTATATTTGCACGACTCAACCCAGTGCTACAAACAAAGGACAACGCTCGTCCAGCCGTAGTTCGTCGTCCGTAGTCTCCGTATCTTAAACTCCCTAATAGTATTCTTGGGCGTGTAGCTCTTTGAAATTTACCGATTCATCCTGAAGATTTTCACACATATTGCATACGATAGGTGAGAGTAAAACAGGACACGCAAGGTTCCATCCACTGTTTCAGTTCGATTTACACAGCTTTGATCTGAAAACATTCTCAGTTTCGAGAATATTTCATTCTCAACTATTCGAAAATATTTCATTAAAAGTTTGAATTTTTCGGTATTTCTTTCACTTTTTAAATACAGTTCATTTTATTTGCCGGAAAGTAAGCCTTAGAAATTAAAAGGTTTGATCAATTCACGCTCGCGCGTTCTAGTCCTTTTTTAAAATTTATAGAAGGACATCTATCAGCAGGGAATAAGTCAGCACAGAATTATGATTGAATTATGATGAATTATGATTCCTTCGACCACTCCAATTCCTTGTGTATTTCCGCCAATGAAATACCTTTTTCTATTCAATTTGTACAAGCTAGTCGATGAGTAACAACGTTCTTTTTTAAATCTTCACTAGAGCAAAGCGAGACGATCCTCCAATTAAAACTACACCAATAAATCAGCATATATCACTGAGGAAGTATTACTTATGAGTGTGTCCATGAGAGAACCAGGCAGCAGGTGATAATGCTCAAATCACGGATTTGATGGGTGTGGTGAGATATTAACCTCCACCAAAAATAAGGTCCTAAAAACTAGCTCCTTTTAGCAAGAAGCACAATTTTATACTTATCC